CTTGCTGAATGTACAAAGTGATGTCTCTAAATAACCTGTAGTATATAATGTACAATAAGTGTCATGTGGAGGCATTCCAGTTTGGGACTTAGATTTTGCTGAATTCATATCCTCCCCTTTGTATGTCCTCAATAAAAATTCTTCATAGGCCTACAGAAACAAGCAACGAAGTGGTAGGCTGTCTCATTCCTACTCTGAGAAAAACAAACAGTTAAATACACCTAAAACATTTCCGATACAAATCAAGTTGGAATGACAGCGAAAATCAATTACCTTTGAATATGTTTCCTCAGGTATGCCATGATGTGCAGGTGCTGGCAGAAGATTCCCCAAGACCGACCAACCTTCCAGAGTCTACACCAACAACTAAATAACATGCTATCAGAAGACGAGGTTAGCGACAATCACCTTTGGGTTATCATACACAGGACATATAACATGAAGAAAAAGTGAAGCTTAATTTAAAGCGTGTAACCTTCAGATGAACGTAGCCATTTAAGGCTATGAACGTTTATTAATCTACAGGATGTATCTACATTGCTGTCATACATCTGCATTTTTGATTGTAGAATGTGAGTTGGTATACCTATTCAAATCGTGGACGTATAACATTAGGGGACAATAGGGTCCACGGTTGAAAACGTGTACAAAACATATGGGAGGTCTTCCGAAGAAGTTGAAGTATGAACAAAAGAGGAACAATACGGAGTCCACGATTGAAGGCGTTTACACACTTGGGTGCGTGCGTGTGGGGGAAGTTAAATTCTTGAGTAAAATCATCATTAAGCTCTCATAGTAACTGAAGCTATATTTCTGTTCTTGTTAACAGGACTACATCACCTTTCACAAGTTGGATGAAGGCATCTATGAAGTGACAATGATCGAAGCCAGCAATGAGAAACTGTGACAGCTGTATGAATTCGGTTAGACAATGTATCAGTGTTGTCCAAGTGGCGAACTGCTTATTCATTTAGAAAATATCCCAAATAAGTAAATTAAAGCAACTACGACGTACCTTTTCTAGTGAGGGTCGTAAAATTCCCTCTGCAAGATGACAAAGACTTATGCTGTAGATTTGTTGCCATTTTGTGTTATTCATTAGAGCAGCTAATAAATACATTTCATCCAGAAAAGATTTACCAGGGATAATCAGAAAGCTATTACTTCTATCATTAAAAGAGAACTTTGTGTCCTTAGAAGGCTACTTGTTACTGAAAATGCATATAATCTGCGTGGCTTTGTAAATATATTGTACCCAGCTTTACAAACTTTTAGTAAAGAGTTTAGTAAAATATCACTGTGTCTTCAGACAGTAACGTTGGTGGTGTTGGGAAATGATAAATGTAAACTTCTATTAGTAATTTTGTATTTAATCTAAATTCGTAGATTAAAACAATCGGTGATTACTTGGTATAGTTTCAGATTTCAGTGTAGGAGGGGACAAGAGTAATATCTGGAAGAGTCAGAAACAGAAATGTTTTGAGGACGTAGACCTATAAACCACTTTTACAAGAGTTGTAACTTTACTTTTAAGTGGGTAAATTGAAAATTTAAATGATGACGCAAACTGCTGCTAAAAATGTACCATTGTTTGAAGGCCAAGCCTAAACGAAAAGAAATAAGACGGATCGGAATAAAAGAAAACATGTTTGGTTTACGGTTATAGAACTGGACTATTCAGAACCGACACTCACTAAAAGAGATTTATACATGGAATAAAAGAAAATAACAAAGCACAACAAAACAAAAACAAAGAAGAGTTAATTGTGCATTGTCATATGACTGACGTTTGAACGTCCATGTCTAATGTTATTCATCGAGATTCTCTCTGGCATTTTCTCATTCATGGTCCATTTTATTGAAAGCACAATATCATCGATATTTAGTTCACAGGATAGCTAATTTAAAGATGGGATCTTCTATTCAGCTTTTTGATAAATACCTCGACGTCCCATTCACTGAGCCAAATTGTTCGCTCGGCAGTGTCATCAGTAGGATTGGGTTGGTTAGGGTATTTGCTGAATCTACAGAAATGGCTATAAATCTGTATTTATGAATCCATTTTATGATACAAAGGGTGGTATTCATCAATTACATGTAACTAGCAGCTGCTTCCAAAGTACGAGTTTTAAAAAAATTCGAGTGAGTTTGTCTGTTTTTTGTTTCAAATTTTAGCTATTTATACAGTTTACAGAAATAAAAAAACAGTCAACGTTCATGAGTAGAGCCAGCTATTCTAAAGCAACATTTTAAGTTGGGGTCAAGGAAGGATTTTTTCACGCGTGCTTTTCAAATTTCATACTGTTACTCTTTAGGGGCTATTCCAATCTGAAGGGATCGAATGGAAATAGAAAATATGAAAAGAATTTTTTTTTCAATATCTTTCACTTGAAGGCTCTGCTACTATTTGTGTAATCAGGAAATCATTGCACTGACCAGAACAGGTGTGGCACCTTTTATCTTACAAAATGTGGTGAAGATTTTTAACTGTGTAGTACATTTTCATTTCATTTGTTCATCAGAAATTAGTACTTCAATTATCAATTAAGATCAGTTAAATAAATTGCCGTAGTTGACTCCATGTTTCATATGGCTGTAAAAAGTTGACAAATCAATAAATCAAAAAACTAAATAGGCTCTGTTCATACTCTGTTCATTCTCGTTTTTTATGACAAATCTCGTTCTCATACTTACACAATACTCACCCCCTTAGGCTCGTTATTGTCCTAGGGAAAGGTTCAGAGCATCTGACCCTACCTGCTTCATTCCAGTTTACTCTACAAGTATGACACTGTAAACGACACGACCCAACCACAGATGTACAACAGGAAATGAAATATTTTTTTTCTGATTGGTACAGATAGATATGCACTGAAATCGGCCATTATTTAGTCTCGTTCACGATTTGGAGGGGTCAAATGGCCGATTTCTGTTGCCTTTGTATGTTTAACAATTACGCTGCACATGGATGAAAACTGTAAAGGCGGGCAACCGATAAATGAACTTGAACTTGTGTTGTTACAAGCTTTTGTAAACACGCTTTCCAGAAGTATATCGAATTCGAGTTCAAAGTTCATGGCGGGTTTTCTCGATGATGCACTTCCTGGTATTTTTTACACAGCTCTTTTTATGGAAGTAATCTGCCCAATTTGTCTGTTGATTATTAGGTACTGTACACGGTGTTTGTTAGAAGTATGGTATGCGCCCATGTACGTGAGATTATGGTGCGGTGTGGCTTTGCAGTCGCCGTACTTTCGTGGGGTAAGACGACTATTTGTAATGTATTAATATTAAGCACCACATGCTTTACTACACTGCACAACACACATGGTCATGTACACAAGACTACATATACAGAGGTCCAAACGTTGAGTATTGCGTTTTATCATTGATCTAGACATAGATAGATTGTGTATACAGAGATTGTTGTTGCAAAATTGCACTGAACGGAAGGAATTTAAACAAAGAGAAAGGATTTGGAGCTGGAATCGATCATTCATTTTGACACTGGGCTCTAGCTCATCCAATTTGGAAATGGTAATTTGATTTATTGGTTGAGCATATACACTACGCAAATAAAATAATTTGAAGTCAAGGACTTCGCTCGGTTGTAATTATAAAGAGGCTAGTCATATCTGTGATTTGAAAATCATGATCATCCACCCAACCTACAAGTTCGTTTCGGCATGTAAGTACTTTACCTCTTACGCTTAGAGCAATTGCAAGCCTTGAAAGTGAACCTCCATGTCTTTTTTTTCATTCACAAAATTATATTAGAGGTCAACGCCGTATTTACTGGACCTCAAGACACATCTGTCTTGCGGGGAGCCACTGCAACACTGTACTGCAGAAACCCTGATTACACAGGGCCAGGCATCACCCAGTGGAGTGAAGGAGGAGTTGTATTCGCCAATGAGGGAGGTCGCTTTGGGTCTAATACTAAATATGACAATTTTGATGTCATCACATCTTCATCGACGCCAACAACCCTGCTGGATCTGCGAATAAACAGGGCTGAAATCTCAGACGAAGGAACATATGAATGTCAAATAACGCCAGACAGAAAAACTGCAACGCTGAAAGTTGAAAGTGAGCACTTGATCAAGACTTCAAATTTGAGTCCAACGACATGCTTTCTACAGAACTACAAATCTAACAAGATTGGAAGAATGGTGAACTTTTTTAGCAGGAAAGGAAATAGGACAGTGTATCATCAGGAAAATTGCCATGTACCTGTAGGAATTACCTGTACAGACAGAGTGTAACACTTTAAAGTACATACACATGTATACACGAACATTGTACGTATTTCACAAGGTAGATGTTTCAAAATGCCAAGTTTTTTCCTTACCAACGTATAAAAGTTGAATAAGCTCTGGTAACTAAAATTTTCTTGCTTCAGTGAAATGTCAGTTGTTAAATGTTTCAGATTTCATTTATTTCTACATCCCACAGTTGAAGGAAGTCTGGATGACATTTCATTTGACGGTGATTCATCAGGGAATCCCATCATCCTGAGAGCGTTGGAGCCAAGCGTGCTGAGATGCACAGCCAGGGGCTTCAGACCAGCAGTCACTTTGGAGTGGTACAAGAACAGTGTCCAGATAACAACAGGCGTCAATCCAGAGGCACCTACTCCTAACGGAGACACATTTGACACATCGGGCACGCTGACATTTACGCCAACTAGGCAAGACAATGAAGCCATCCTAGAATGCCGAACAACAGGACAGGTGGTCGCCCCAGCCAAAACAGCATCGCTCACTCTCAATGTACAATGTACGTTTTGAGCAGTTGCTTGAAATCTGCAACCACATCCTGCGAACTGAAGGTTTTGAAACCTTTCCCTGCTTGTTTTTCGCCGAAAATACTGGTGCATCACTGGATGTTTCTCTTTATGTTAAACTAGATATTTCCTTAGCCGTAAATGTGGTGATGAACATAGGCAAGCTGGTAAAACAAGTGTGAATTAGTTTGTTCTGATATTTAACCCTCAAAGAGCCAGGGGAGGCAGAATCCGCCCCCCCCGTTGATTTTTGCTGATAGCATCTCTAGGATTAATTTCTGCGTGCTAATACTTTATGACAATAAAGTGAGCGACATGTTCTCTCTCAGTGAAGAATTTTAGTAGGCATGGAGAAGTATGACCATTAACTTTGTACACACCATTGACTTTGTACACACCATTGACTTTGTACCCACCATTGACTTTGTACATACATGTACATCGTACAAAAGGCAAAGTGAATAATTAATGAGTCATAATTATGCAAAAACTTCATTAGTTTACATATAAATTCACACAGACAATTAGTATGTATGTTTCTATGATACTGCCAAATGTCATTGAAATACAATGGCCAAGATCCGAAGGGGGGGTGCAGATTTTGCCCCCCGGCTGTGACAAGGCTAAAAATTATGCCCCCCCGGCTGTGACAAGGCCAAAAACCCGGTTCTTTGAGAGTTAAATTGCCGAAAGCAGTATGGCTCAAATTTCATCAGCAATGTTGTTACAATGTTGTAAAGCATGTGCTTGTTCATCCAAAGTATCGTTTAATTTCCAACTTGCTTTTATTGTTGCCTAATCGTTACAATATCCCAACGTATTTCAATGACAAGTGTGCATTGCGCATGAGACTAAGGGTTAAGCAAGGCTGGCTCACTTTGTCCATGCAATTATGCATACTCTACAACATCACTGAAAATAAGTTTTATTACTGACTTTCTACCATGAAAATACCGACGGGTGCGTGGCACTCATAAAAATGTTTACTTGTTGCCACGTCCAACTCTAATAGATTCTGTGCTCGTATTAATTTGTCCTGCAGATATACCAGTGGTCTCAGTTGGGTATGCTAATGAAGTGATAACTTGCTCATCGGATGCCAACCCACTGGCTATCAATCATAAGATCATCCTGAACGGTACTCAGGTTGTGAAGGAACTCACGACCAGCCAAGGATCTCATCCATTCACTCCAGTAGATGGCTGTACTGCCATCAGTTGCAATGCTACAAACACAGTGGGAACAGGAACAGCGACTTTTCTTGAAGAAATTTGCCCAGGTATATTTCTCCTTTTTTTAACCATCAAAGAAATATCAAGTTGTATCAAGATAACATTATTCCATAAACAATGGACATACGGTCGTTTGAGGGGCTTTACATTACTTTAACCTAATAAACAGCATACGTCGAACCGCAACCAGTGACAACAGTTCACATGGAAGTCCAGCCACCCACAAAGTCTCCTGGACAGACTACAGATTCTTCGATGATACCAGGTTAGTTGTCCTCTGAAGTCAGTTGGTTTTATCATGACACAAAAGCACATGGGTTAATCTTGAAGATGGTGCAATTGAGGGGGTCATAATATTCTTGTCATTTTAATGAATGCAGTTCTTGCCATTAGTGAAGCCATTCAATGTCTGTGATGTCTTTAAAGCAAAATAGAGTCCTGTATGGTTTTTGTGCGTCTTCCAACCTTTCAACCTTTGTCCAAAGCCCCATAAAAATGACAATGGGCGAGATTTTGGGCCTTTCCTCCACGATAATTTTACCCAGGTCATCATATTGGCTGGTCATAGGCCTAATAACTCCTCCCCTCCTAGCATACATTTTATGCCCCCATGAAAAAAGGGGGAAAATAGACAGCATCATTAAATACTAGTGGCATCTCCCAATCTTCAGAAATGGTAGTCATAGCTGGGCCAGCAGTGGCAGTCGTGATACTTGTTGGCGTTGCTGCCGTTGTTTCTGTGTTACTATGGAGACGCCGTCGTGGACAGAAACGAACGCATGCAAAGCGAGAAATGGGACAAGATGGCGGGTAAGCCTTTGTGTTTAGAGGATCATATTGGATTGTATGCAGATTGAATTACAGCACATGTTGCTCGATTTGTGTCATTTACCCGTGGCGAGTTCAACTTGGCATGAGCTATGAAGGAAATATGAGATTGTCATGCCGACAAAGTTTTGCGTGTATACATGCACTTCATTCGTACAAGCTGGAACCTTAGATTTAAGGGGAGGAAATGTTTTTTGTGAATTTAGTTACTTTAGTCAGGTCATCGGTGTTGTGTTTTTACTACAACGTTTCAGCAGGATGAAGGTTTTGTTTTCTTTGCTTAGTGATTTGGAAATTGTGGAAGTCAATCTGCAGATCTATTTAGGTATTTCAGATGATGTCTAACTTTTGGATAAAAACAATACACCACTCGTCGCTTAAATTAATAAAAATACGTGTTCAAGTGATTTTAAACACTAACTGGCAATGACTCGAAATCTTTCAATTACAGAGTTGCCACGGGAAACTTGAAGCAAGATCCAAATCTGCACAGCAAAGACCGAATTAGGCCTACGCCAAGACAAGCTAAACCCGATCCATACGGTACGTAGTGCATTGAAGAACTGTACAACATTGAAGGTATCCTCTCATAAAGGAGAAAAAAGAAAAGAACAGAAATCCGAGGTTATATAAAGGAAATTGATGACTTGATTTTAGCTACGCTCTTGCTTCCTGTCGGTGCTGATTTTTTCTTTACTTCAAACTCCTGGAAAACCGGGGGAAAGAAGATAAAGAGAAAACAAACAGTCTTCAATGTGGTGCAAATGGAATTAGTCCAGAACTGAAAATCCAATTATGTTTGCCGTTGTTAGATATAGGCAGGGAAAGAATTTAAGGAAGACTTTGAGGATTAATTCTTTCTCCTTCCTGAGCAGGTCTGTAACAGCTCACTCCTTTATGTTTTAGCTGTTAAGGTGAAAGCCCCAATAATCACTGTAAAAAAGTGATAAATCTGTGTTGGAAATTGGGGAGGGATGGCGAAAGGTGGGGGAAGGGATGACTGGCCCGGCCATGGAAATTTGAAAAGCCGGGGGGGGAGAGACACATACACACTATATAGGGGGAATTGTTCATGATAAAGATGTTCATCTGTAATTGTGTATTCAATTTATGCAGAATCTTACATCACAATGGTATATTTATGGCTTGTAACAGTTGCTTTCCATTTGTAGTGATATTCCAAACATTGTAGTCATTGGGAAATCCTGATAATTCTTTAAAATCTGCTTAAATATTTTTGTTCATTCCAAAAAAGTCGGGGATGATTCAATAGCCCACCCCTTCCTCCTCAAAAAGTGGGAGGATATCCCCACAATCCCCCGGATCAACCCCCATGAAAAGTGATAAACTTGATGAAAAACAAAACAAAACAAAATTCGGTGAAATGGTTTTAACTTGATTACGTGCAACCATTGAAGATCAAATGTATTTGAGTGAAATCTGAACTGAGAGTCAATGAGCTCAAAAAATCAAACTGAATGGCAAGTACAAAGTGGTCATTAAAATACGTTTGTAAACCAAAGCTAGTGTAATTGATTTAACAGAAAATACTGTTCGAAGACGATTGCGGCTCTTTTAATGCCTTCATTAACTCCCTTCATGTTTAAAGCCCTTACTTCAAACACTTTATTGAATAAAAATGTTTCTTTCAGAAATTCCCTTGAACCCGGTAGCCACACACGTGGTTTACGAATGTGTGGCTGAAAAAGACGCCGTTGTGCAAGCTACATCTATACAGGGAGGAGCGTACGGCAACGTAGGACCAAACCTCTCATTCTCGCGAGATCTCCTGGAGATTGGGAAGGAACTGGGGCGTGGCGCGTTTGGGAAGGTGCTGCTTGGCACGGCTCGCGGGATCAAGGAGGACAGGAAAGTCACAAAGGTTGCTGTCAAGACTCTCAAAGGTGTGTCGTTAATGTGAAGAACTAATTTGCGAAATTTCTGTTAGCAAGAAGTATATAACGGTCACTTACTGAACAATAACAGATTGGAATAAGACATGCTTGCATAGGCGAGGGACAAACAATGACCCTCGACCAACAGAGGCTAGTTTGTTGGTTTCGTAAAGGTGAGGGAAAACATGAAACGACCAACCAAAGCCTGTAAACATGTAAACAAACTGCGAATACAGAGTTTCCTTTGATGAAAGGCTGGGCCATATTTGGCGCGAAAAGTGACATAACTAGACTTGCGACGGCAGAGTAAATCATTTCCACTGCCAATTTGCAGACGTTGCACGCTTCTCGACGTAAGCGAATTCACTGCAAAAAGTGTCTTGACGTCCATAAGGAAACCTGGCTCTGTGACCATGAAAAAGGCATTAAAATTGCTCTCTGGCAAATGTGATTGTGAACCAGGCTTTGAATTGGAGTGGCCAACGTACATCAGAACACATATCTAAATAGCATCTCGCTGAACATTATAGTATTAACACAAATCGAGATTAATTTCGAACCTTTACTGGATCATTCCTTGTACGGTTGTAGAGGGCGCTGACAGGCAAGCAAGGATGGAGCTTCTGGCCGAGCTGGATCTCATGAAAAAAATGGGTTCTCATCCAAACGTCGTCAAGCTACTGGGATGTTGCATTGAAAAAGGTACCAAGACTTAATGGTCCATGATCATAAAAATATAAAACATCATGGTGCACCCTGGCATAAACTCTCTGGCACGAATTATGACCAGATACCATCGAGCTACCTAAGCAAAACCACACAAAAAACTGGCTAGTAATTATGCCTGTCATATCTGCATGCCTGTGCTTGTTTTTACCAGATCCTGTATACATCATAGTGGAGTACCTTGGAAAGGGTGACCTGAAAAANCAGTAGCCAACCCAGCTTCAGTAAATCTCAGTCTCGAGAGTTACTCAAATTTGCCAGGGACGTGGCGAGCGGCATGTCCTTCATATCCTCACAAAAGGTGACAGGGTCAGACTTTTTTACCTCTAACATGCTGCACATGTTCATGTGGAGATGAATAATAGTACATGCGTCATATATCCTGCATTTTTATTTTGTCGGTAGCAGTCAGGATCTCTTGTGGCGATTCTATTCTCCCTTACCCTCCTGGAGAGAACCAGCTCTGTCATAGTCTCTGCTCCAGCATCTTTCTTCAGGGCACGGACATAGCCCATTCTCTGTCCTCTCCTGGGCTGTGTCCCACAGACGAACACAAGGAGTCGCAATCGAGCGTATACACCCACGCTTAACACAAATAGAGGAGGCCAAACTTTTTTTTAAACAAATGACAACCTTCTTTTGCAAATGTCAATCCTATGTTTGCTGAGTCTCTTAATTCACGAAGCCCTAAATGAACACACTCACTTTTCTTCGAACTCTGTTGCATTATGCTCACTTCCCTTTCCTAATAGCTCCTTTTGGAGAGCCTGTTGGTTGTTTTATCAACAACCTTCCCTTCATTGGCCTCTCAATCCTCGTTTACACCTTGTGTGTCATTCTTTTATAATCTTGTGCTGGTGTATACCCTGCAGTGCGTGCATCGTGACCTAGCTGCACGTAACGTGCTGGTGAGTGATGACTTGGTTTGTAAAGTGTCTGACTTTGGACTGGCCCGTGACGTCATGAACATCCGCATCTACCAACGAGAATCAAAGGTATAGATTAGACATCTGTTCCTTAGTCGATGGGCAAGTTCTTTAAGGGTTAAAAGATAAAAGAGCCAATGCGTATTACCTTCAAAGGGCATCATTCTGAGGTCGTTTCGAGTAGTTAACAAATGCGGAATAAACTGAATCAGCTGAAAAGGACTGAAGCTGTACTGACATTTACTATTTTTTTACCCATTTTAATAATCACTTGAAATGACAATAGTTTTGAAGCATTTTCGGGGAATCTTGTAAAATATGATTTTCTAGAATATTGACTTGCAGTGTTTGCAATATTTAGGCCTGTAGATTTTCAAGAATTAGGAGCACAAGTGTCCAATCGCTTGTTACAGTAATTAAAAAAAACATGCCTGCCTAACGAAACGATCCTTGCAAGTACACATAATTCGATTTCTAGGGAGCTCTTCCCATGCGTTGGATGGCTTTGGAATCTCTCCTTAGTGACGTGTACACAACGGAGAGTGACGTATGGTCTTTTGGGGTTCTCCTGTGGGAGATTATCACTCTTGGTGAGTTCTGGATTGTTGACTAGTTGAGAAGCAGTGTAGGCCAACGTACTTCTAAACACCATTTAATCCCATTAGGTGGGTCGGGTTAGAAGCGTTCCTTGATTCCTTGTCAACAGCGTTCCCATGGCCGCAATCCACCTTAGATGTAGACACGAATGCCATAGTGCAGCGTAAAGCTGGAAAGTCGTATTTTAGCTTGAGTAAGCTATATGAACAAGGTGCCTGCAGTTGTAGGCTATCCACAAATGAAACAAGTGACATAGACACACTGGAAACTTTCTCGTATGTGCATAAATATTGGTACATGTATTTGTGTTATACGTTACACCTTCTCCTGAAGGCCCCAATATTTGCGGGCCCTCAAATTTTCATATGCCCTATCCACCATGAGCGGGACCAAGAGAGGGCGCAGGTTTCTTTGCAATTTAAGCTCTGTCAGTGGTAATTGAACTTGAATGCTCTGCGGTGGCATTGCTACCAATAAAATGAGCACTCCCCAGCATCATGGCTCTTTTCAATTGATGGGGGGTGCCTCTATACATTGAAGCAGTTACTACTCCGTCTTCTGAATAATTCGGTCTTGGCCACGGATGACAAGACAACAAGTCGAAATGCGTAGTTAGCTAAGTGTGAATACGCCCTGTAACTAGTCTTTCCTCCCCATAGGTGCCAGGCCATACGCGATGATGAC